GCTTTATATATTATAATTATCATTTTATTCATTTTTTTATGTTCTCTTATGATGCATACCTAATAATGATTTTGTCATTACAATAACTATTTTTTCTTTTTCAAAATCACACTTATTGAAGTAATTGGCTTTCTCCTAAAGTATTTTATATTCATTTACCAACTTGCATCTTCATTCTTTATTTTACATATTCAACACTAATTGTTTTTGCTGTTCAATTCATGTTAAAGCATTTTATTCATTTCTTATTAAGTTTTCGTCAAAATTACATTTCCAATTCCAACTGTAAGTATACGTATGCAAATATAGTACCTCAAGTAAGAAATTAATAAATTCACTTTCAGAAATGTAATATAATAGTAAAAAGTTAATTTACTATGGTGACAATTGTATTATGAAATGTACTTACCTGTGTGTATTTAAGTAATTTAACAATATTTATTGAAATATACTTACCTGTATCTATATAAGTAATTTAACAATAATTCTTGAAATGTAAAAACCAATATTTAAGGAATTTGAGATGTATTTATAACATATTTATTATTTTGTTAACAAAATTATTTACTTAGGTATCTTAGGGTATACATGAGTATATGTGTTTAAATATTTAGGCATCCTATATTTGTAAATTTACGTAGATGGTATTGTTTTTGTAACCATAATAATCAGCTGGGGAATAGGGGATTTATTGTGGGGAGAGAACGAGAGCGAAAATGTTTTTCTTGTGATAGAGGGTCTAAGAATGTGAATATGAGGACGAGGGTGAATACGAAAGAGAAAGAGAAAGAGAGAGAGAAATAAATCAATGCGTAGGTGAGCATGAATGAGAGAATATCAGGGTGAATGAGAGGGGTGAATATGTGAGAATACATGTAAAGATGAGTATGTCTAATGAGAAAAGTGTGTAAGAGAAAGAATACTTGTAGGAGTAAATAAGCATGAATGAGGAGCGGCAGAAAATACATGTGAAAGTGAGAACAAATGAGAGAGAAAGGGGGAAAGTGTGAGTAGGGGTGGAGTATGAAAGAGAGAAAGGAATAATGCATGGGGTTTGATATGAATGAGAGCGAATGAATACATGGCAGTGAGTGTTTGCAGTATATGAAAGATCATGTGAGGGGGAGAGACAGGATGTATGAAAGGGGATGAGTTGTATGTGAGAGTACGTAAGAATATGAATGAAGAAGTGTGTGAGAGAGCATAATTAACATCTCTCTCACACGCATTTTCGTTCATTCCTTAGTAAGAGAGTGAAAAAATGTTTGAAAGGGCTTGAATATGAATGAGAGTGTATGCGCTGGATGAGAAGAATGTATGGTAGTGAGCAGCAGTGAGGGTGTTTATAGAGTATGAAAAGCATGTACGAGAGAGAAGGAATGTATGAATAGGGTGAGTTTGAACATAAGAGTGTATATGAATGTATGTTAAGGGTATGAATGAAGAAGTGTGTAAGAGAGCATGATTTATAGCTCTCACACGCATTTTCATTCATACCTTACAGAGTGAGCGAGTGAATAAATGTATGAATGAGGGGTGAGTCTGAATGAGAGAGAGTATATTTGCGCGGTATGAATGAAGATGCGTGTGGGAGAGCGTTATTTTAGACCTCTCTCACACGCATTTTTCTTCATGCCCCGCAAAGTGTGGGAGCGTATGTGTACGAATGGGGGTGGGTATGAATGAGAGTGAGAGAGAGAATGTATATGCGGGGTATGAATGAAGATGCGTGTGAGAGAGTGGATTTAGACCTCTCTCACACGCATCTTTCTTCATGCCCCGCAGAGTGAATGGGGGTGAATGAATGAGAGAGAGAGTGTGTATGTGTGGGGTATGAATGAAAGTGCGTGTGAGAGAGTGCGATCAGGCCTCTCTCACACGCACATTCGTTCGTACCCCACCGAGGGAGGGGAGAGGGTAAACGAGGGGGGAAGGAAATAAAAGATATATATAATACGTAGTTGTTTTATTTAGACAAAAAAAAAATTTTCAGGCCTACCAGGTTTAGCGCTAAAGGTTTTTTTAATTCGAAGACCGTCCGGGACAACGCCCGACGACTGGAGCCCCGGATTCGAACTAGAAGCCCCCAGCACGCGTAGTTCGGAAGTTCCGTGGTACTAAGACCTGGAAACATTGAAATTCGAATCTCTTAGTCTCCAAAAATAAGGATCTCGAAAATTTCGAGACCCGTAGTTTTGGAGACCTTGAGATTCGAATTTCAAAGTCTCCAGGACTCGGTATCACGGAAATTCCGAAGTTCCGAGTGCTGGAGCCTTCGAAGTTCGAATCTGGAAGCTCCAGAACACTCCCGCCCGTAATCACCCGCGATGTACCCGGTCCCTCGATGGAAGAACGACGACGAGAGGCATCCAGATGATGGGGATGATGATTCTGCAACAAATATATATAATTGTATTAATGGTTAATAATAAGTTGGAAATATTTTATCAATTTCAATTAACAGTAACAATTATTTTGTTTCTTATAGTAAAGGAAAACGCGAAATTAAATCAAAATAAGCAATTGCAACAACAAGAAGAATATTTTAAAGTTTAACATGTCCAATGACTTAAAGAAATAAAAACCGAATGAAACACTGAAACAATTTGCGGCAATATTAAAAAATGTAACAAATTGGTCTTAAACTTTTAAAGTTTAACATCGAAACAAAATAATTCGTTACTATTTAAAAAATGAAAAAATATAAAACTAATTCAAGGACACTAACCCTTGTTGCATTGATCGGATCATCATTTCCATTCCCCCATTGACATTCCAACATCCTTCAGCTATTGACTCCAGGAAGGGAAACCAGAAATGGCTGCAACCAAACAAAATATTAGTTTTCATAATCCTGATAAACAATTACAAATTATGTAAACTATTGGATTTGCTACAAAAGTTTACTAAAACAAAAATGAAATACACATTTTGTTATAATAAAATTATAATATTATATAAGCAGTAACACTCCAAAAGGTATGTTCTTTGATTATTAATTATATTTATATTTTACGAACAAATGTATAACAGCTAACTAGTAGAACTACAAGTAAAAAAACAAAATTTTTTCAGTCTGAATACGGTTAAATAAACCGAAACGTTACAATAAATATATAGTTCTGTAATTATTTGACCGCCACCCTGGAAAAAACTACCTAATTTAATAGTAACGGTCAAGAATCCAACATGTTTTACGAAAAAAAAAAAATAGATTACAGGATGACTAATGGAATGTAGATTATTAGAAAGTTACCTTCTTTATTGCAAAAAGAAGTTTCCCAATTCAAAATCGTTAATTAATTTCTTTTGCTTCCTGAAAACTAATTAACTATTAATTAGTAATACCTGTTCTCATCATTAGCATAAAGTGAGTCTTGCATTCATGTTAGGGTTTATTATGTAATTTATTAATATTTTAACATTAAATTTATATTTCATTAGTTAGTTTCAAGGAAGCATAAGACCTGCAAATTAAATAAATGTTTTTTTATCCGTTAGTTGTTATTTTTTGCTTACTATAAAAATAACAAATGTGATGTAATAACATCCATACTTAAGAAATGGTGAAGGTGCAAGGTATCAGTAAGAAGTACCTAATTAAAAGAGGAATAGCAAATTGATGTGGTAGGCACTAAGTCCTTCAGCTAATTTATTTGAAACAGAGAATGTTTGAAATTAAAAATTTTTTATTTCTGCAACACACACATTACCAATAAGAAAAAAAGAGACAAAAAAGACAAATGGGCATGTTTGGTATTAATAAACATATTAACCTTGCAATTTCGTATGTTGCTGTAAAGGTAAATATTCTAAAAGAGGATTAAACCATTAAGGGAAATTTTTCAAAAAGTACGTAATAAATTATGTTCTTAGAAAATGATCCCAGATTTTTATAAACACTGTAAATGAGATATAATAGAAATAGTTAAAAGACACTAACCTGTATGACTTTGATCGGATCATTGTTTCCATCCCCGCACTGACATTCCAATGAACTTCCTTCAACTTCTCACTCCAGGAAGGAAAACCAGAAATGACTGTAACCAAACAAAATATTACTTTTCATAATCCTGATAAACAATTACAAATTTTACATGTATTTGGATTTGCTAGAAAAGTTTACCAAAAGGAAAATTGTTTGTGTGACTGGCAAAACGCTTAATTTTCTTAAATTAATACTAAACATTATCGACGATTAAATATTAAACCTTCCCATTTTTTAATACAAAACTGTAGCATCTACTGGACCTCGTTATACATACATATATGTAGTAATATAATCTTTCAGAATGGCTTTGTTTAACAATAGTAAAAGGTTAATAATCAGTTAGGCATTCCACAGCTATTAAATCTTCTCGAAATAATATTCTATTAAAAAAAAAAAAAACTACAGGATAACTAATGGAATGTAAATTATTAGAAAGTTATCTTTTTTATTGCAATTCAAAATCATTCTAAAATGTTAAATAATTTCTTTTATTCCTCAAACTAGTTAACTATTAATACCTATTATTGTTATTAGTGTAAAGTGAAGGTACAAAACTTGCATTCATGTTGGGGTTTAGTACGTAATTAATTAATATTTTAACTTTAATTTTGAATTTTATTAGTTAATTTTAATTAAGCATAGGACCTGCAAGTTAAATAAATATTTTAACCCTTTAGTTGTTGTTTTTTTATTATTATAAACACTAGCTAAGTAGTAAATGTTATACAATAACATAGTACAAAAGTAAGAAATGGCGAAGGTGCTGGATATCATTCAGTATGAAGTACCTAATGATAAGAGAAACAGCACAATGTACTAGACAATGAACCTTACAAGTACCTAATTTATTGTAAAAAAAAATATTTGAACGTAAACGTTAATATTTCTGAAAGCCAAGATAGAGCAGCTAAAAGTGTAAAGAAACTATAGGTGTACAAGCAAAATATGCACTAGATGAACTGACAAAAAGAAATAGAAATTTATTTAAAACAGAGAATGTTTAAAGTTAAAACTTAATTACCGAAAAAAAAAGCAGGTAATACTGAACAGAAACTATATTATAAAGTGAGTACTTTTGAACGTTAGTATATGGGCAAAACATGCAACACATAAATTACCAATAAGAAATAGAGACTAAAAAGTTAAATGGGCATGTTTGGTATCAATAAACCTATTTTTTAGTAAGTAAAAATTTTAACAATTTTGTTGGCAGTAAAGGTAAATATTCCAAAAGAGGATTAAACTGTTAAGGGAAATTCTTCAAAAAGTACAAGTTAAATAGTGTTGGTAAAAAATGATCCCAGATTTTTATAAAACACTGTAAATGGAATATAATAAAAATAATTAAAAGACACTAACCTGTATGATTTTGATCGAATTATCGTTTTCATTCTCGCACTGACATTCCAAAGAACTTCCTTTATCTTCTCACTCCAGGAAGGAAAACCAGAAATGGCTACAACAGAACAAAATATTACTTTTCATAATCCTCATAAACAATTACAAATTTTATATNATGGCTTTGCATTTTTTTTATTGTAATTTCTTTTGATAACGCTTCAAACATTTGCTGTTATTTTACCATCAACGAGCGTTGTTATACTTTCATAAAAAGGAAAATTATCCAAATAAAAGCATATCATCATAGACATAAAAAAAGTACTATACAGTTATGTATTTAAAAGAACAAAGCAGCTGTACCATCTTCGTATGATATTAGGTTGAATTTTTACCCCTAAATACATGTATTTTTTTCCTGAAAGTTTCCCATCCACACAGACTCTATAACTTAAAAAGCTACAAAAATTCGAATAACTAATTGTATACGTACGTAATAAGTGATAATTGAATTTTCACAAAAAGCAGAGGTAAATTATTGCAAACGAAATTTTGAACAGATTTATTTCAGCCAAACTGGGTATCTACATACTGGTAGAAATTACACAAATAATCGGTTTTACAACATCATATCAACTTCTTTTGTGGAGGCATCAGTACAGCTTTTATAACGTTTGATAACTTACGTTTTTTATTGCTTTTTATCTGCTGTAATATATATAATATAAGAAAAATAATATGTTGAAAATAAATAGAAAAAATTATTCCTTATTTTCCAATTCATTGTTAAAATTATATATTTATTATTTTCGAAAGTCAATAAGTGACCGTTTTTCCTTTATTTTTTTGAGAAACTGAAGAAACTATGTATTAATCCATCGCTTGATTTAATAAATAACTCAAATTATAATAGTAAATGTGGCGATTGCAAATTCGACTGGTTTAATGGAATTTTGTAATTACAGTGGTAAACTCGACCGGAAATGATTTGTTGTTCTCGAAGGACAAATTGTAAATTAGACTGGTTATTATGTTGATAGCTCATGTTTCATGAGCATTTCTTAATTTGGTTTTCTTAAAAAATGTTGCTTTGAAAAATGTTATGTATAAATTAATGAAAAAATGATGACCTTTTTTACGCAAAAAAATATCGTTGTCGTATGTTATACAATATTCTTTAATATTTTTGCGAAATATACATATAAGCAAGTAAATAAGTATAATTATTCAGCAGGTAGGTTGTTCGCAAGAGTTGCAAGAGTGGTCGATATCTCAAAAATGTGCGAAGCGCTTCTTGTAAATTAACTTTGTTTTATTAAATAAAAAACGTTTCTCATCTGAGTTTAAATTACTGATACGAGACCGCTTATGCTAATTAATTAAAATTAATTCATCCGACGCGACACGTTACATTTGCGCGGATTATCAAGTAGGTAATATCATTTATTAACACATGAGACTTTATACAAATTTAATTTAAAAAACAACGCTAAAATAATGTTTTTTGTTATTATCTTTTCGTTTCATTTTTTGTAATGTCTTATATGTTAATTAGTATTATTATTTGATAAGAAAAAATAGAATAATCGTATATACGACAGAGAAAAACGGTACGAGGCACGGAAAGTAGGCGTGCAATGGAATACTCCCACCACCGCAACGTGCCGCGCTGGATAAATTATTTTTTTTCCATTAGTATCAATAATTTCTTCATCAATTAAAATTACTTTTTTGATAGAAAATTTCATCTAAAACACGATGGTTTTACTATATTAAAGGTGGGGGCAATTGTTTAAAACTGGTTTAAATATTTTAATTGTAACAATAAGAATTTATTATAATTGAAACAGTTTTATATCATTTTTTTTAGCTTTAAAATGAAAACAGTTTCTAGTTCAAATAGAGCCGGAATTACGAATTTTTGAAAAAGCCAAAAACCATCAAATTCTCAAATTTTTGATCACTTCTCCTTCCCAAAATATCGAAATAAATCGTACACGATTCCCTTTTTTTTTAAATAAAACTCGTAAATAATAAAATTTCAGTCAAATCGAAAATGTATCAGTCAGTCCGGCTGTAAAAGAATGTCCCGTATAACAGGTTGAACAGGTACCCACAATATGTGCTGTTATTTCTATGCACAGGTATAACAAACCAATAGGTAGCGGTTGCTTAATGGCACCTAATAAACCACCCTAATCCGAGTAACATTGATTGTCTATCTTAATTTTTTATGCAGTTCCCAACAAAAATCAAAATACTTCTGTTTGTTTAACATCTAACAAAAATTGGACTTCGTACTTCTCTTAAGAACATCCTAAGTTATCATTTGCCCGAAGTGCAGGTTCTAACTCATTACTATATGGCTGCAATTTATTTAATAGGTTTTAAGGTTTTGTTTTTTTAATAAAACAAAAACGAAAAGTGATGCTTTGATTTGATACTTACTTTAACCTCTCTTCTAACTAATATGCCCTTAGAAAAATCCCTTTAATAATATTTAAAAAAATCTCATTTGTCTAGAAATGACTGATATGGAGCCATAATGAATGATTTTGCCTCTTGTAATGATCGGCCGAATTTACTACTGCCCTAGTTAATGCGAACAGACATTATATTAAACGGCGATTGTAACTTCGGCCAATGTAATGGGTTTTTGTTAATTAATTCGGCCGATTTGTGTACAAATAAGCACAGAAAATAAAAACAACATCTTAGTGCTAAACGCTATTGAAAAACATTGCGGTTGGGGTAGGTGGTCTCTTAATTAGTTAATTTACTGCTTAAAAATTAATATTCTAGATTATCTGAAAGTAACATCATATTAGTATTATATAAGTTGTTAAAGTTTGCTAGTATTTACTTAAGCCCTTTTATTTTTCTTTAATTGTTTCTTATATTGCTGATGGGTTTTAAGACAATATTTGTATGCTGAAATTTACAAAATATTTTAAAATTGAAACTAGGATTTAATTTTATTTCCTTTTGATTATTACTGAAAATATTTCCAAAGAATCCTGAAGTTATCAAAATATTGACATTTTATTAAAGTTAGTAAAGTAGTAACATTAGTAAAGTATTTTAAGAAAATGTTTTTTGGAGCTTTTCTAGAAAGACAAAAAAAGTCTCATTGTAATATTAATTTCTAAACATTAGAAACATGTACAGTTATTGCCCTTCGTATATTTAGCATTAAAAAAAAGCTTTAATAAAAAGCTTACATTATGAAAGACTATTGCTTAGTTGTCACACTCTATATTGACAAGTTTAAAAGCTACTCAAATAGTTTTTTTTTTAATATTATGTTATTTTGATTGCAATTGTTTCTTTTTTATTTTGCAGAATAACGAAGAATGTGATGACTGATGAGTTATTCTCTATGAAGCACTCTACATAAAAGTAAGTGGTAAATTTAATTTTAATTAGGCTGTAATAAAGCAGAGAATATAAAAGTATGGCAGTTAGTATTTTGCTTTAGAAGCAATGTTTTACTAGTTTTTCAATAGGGATTTTAGAACCTTCCTCTTAATTTGCAATTTTTTTATTATAATTTCTTTTGATAACGCTTCAAACATTTGCTGTTATTTTACCATCAACGAGCGTTGTTATACTTTCATAAAAAGGAAAATTATCCAAATAAAAGCATATCATCATAGACATAAAAAAAGTACTATACAGTTATGTATTTAAAAGAACAAAGCAGCTGTACCATCTTCGTATGATATTAGGTTGAATTTTTACCCCTAAATACATGTATTTTTTTCCTGAAAGTTTCCCATCCACACAGACTCTATAACTTAAAAAGCTACAAAAATTCGAATAACTAATTGTATACGTACGTAATAAGTGATAATTGAATTTTCACAAAAAGCAGAGGTAAATTATTGCAAACGAAATTTTGAACAGATTTATTTCAGCCAAACTGGGTATCTACATACTGGTAGAAATTACACAAATAATCGGTTTTACAACATCATATCAACTTCTTTTGTGGAGGCATCAGTACAGCTTTTATAACGTTTGATAACTTACGTTTTTTATTGCTTTTTATCTGCTGTAATATATATAATATAAGAAAAATAATATGTTGAAAATAAATAGAAAAAATTATTCCTTATTTTCCAATTCATTGTTAAAATTATATATTTATTATTTTCGAAAGTCAATAAGTGACCGTTTTTCCTTTATTTTTTTGAGAAACTG